CCCGCCCCCCGATTCCTAAAACTAGGTCACCACCTTTATTTTTCCTCTGACTCTGAGTTCTTGTCCAGGTTGGTCTCAGCTTGGCTGAGCTCAGCGACAGAGGTAAACACAATGGTTCGGGGTTAGCCGTGCAAACAGACCGCGCGCACGCACACACACACACGCACGCAAGTACACACACACACACGCGCGCCTGCGCGCACGCACAAGCTGGTGATTGTCCTGTGTCCAACGGTCGGCCGCTGCGGTCGTTGGTGTGTTGGGGTGTTTGACTCGCAAGCGGTCAGTAGTTATGTGCGTGTGTGTGTGTGTGTGTGTATGTGTTGCTTGTGTGTGTGTGTGCGTGTGTGTGTATGTGTGTGTGTGTGTGTGTGTGTGTGTGTGTGCGCGCAGAGAGAGAACCACACAACCAACGCCGTTCATCTTTCGTGTCTTTACGTTGAGGTAGCTAGCCGGGTCCAACTGATTGTTTCTTCAGCTGTTCACATCACTGCCTGCTCCTTGTTGTTTGTTAGTGGCCTTGTATTACCTGCAATGAGAAGAAGGCAGAAGGGGAACGGGATTGTTGAAAAGATTTGCCTGTGTCCCGTCTCGCGTGGCTGTCGCCCGTAACTCGGCAGACGAGGCGCTGTCCGCGTTCTTTAAAACTTTTTTTTGTACTTATGTAGGCGTGCGTGTGTATACCTCTCTCTGTGTGTGCGCGTGTCTGTGTGTGTGTGTGCGTGTGGTTTTTTTGTGTTTTTTTTTTTGGGGGGGGGGCAAGTGTGTGTCTGTTTGAGGGTGTGTGTGTGTGGTTTTTGTGGGGTAAGTGTGTGGGTGGGTGTGTGTGATGTTTTTCTTTCCTTTAACAAGGACTGCGTGAACATGCTATTTCCTCTCTGTTTCTTTTCTTCTTCTTCCGCCTCTCACCTCAAGCGTAGAAAATGAAAAGCCAAAGGTGTTTTGTTTTGGGTTTTTTCTTCCTTTTTCATGGGAGGTGCTAATTTTGGCGCATTGTCTCTACGTGTGGGTAACTGCCCGTGGTCGTGTTGGAAGTCTGTATGTGTTTGAGATTGTTGCGCGGTCATGCGTTCTTGTTTGGGATAGCTGGGAGTAGCAGGACAATCTCCTCATTCTGTGTCATTTTCTCTCTCTCTCTCTCTCTCTCTCTCTCTC